TCATGTCATCTGTAAACAGGGACAGTTTGAACTCTTCCTTTCCAATTTTGATGCCTTTTTTAGTTTTTTATTCTGTCTAATTGCTATGTCTAGGAATTCCAATACTATGTTGAATAGAAGTGGTGAAAGTGGGTGTCCTTGTCTTGTTCCTGATCTAATAGGTTCCATGATCTTTTTAAAGTCCCCTCATATACAAAAGTCAATCCCTTTCCTATATACTAAGAATGAACAAGTGGAATTTGAAATTAAAAGCACAATACCATTTACATTAATATACCCCAAAATGAAATACTTGTCCGTATTAAGATCTATATGAAGAAAACTGTGAAACCCTGATGATTGAGGTCAAAGAACTCAATAAATGGGTGGATATTCCAAGATTATGAATGGGTAGATTCAGTATTGTCAAGATGTCATTTCTTCCAACTCGACCTATAGATTTAATGTACAATCCCTGTCAAAAACTCAGTAAGTTATTTTGTGGATATTTACGTATTGATTCTAAAGCGTATATGGAGAGGCAAAAGATCCAGAATAGCCAGCACAATATAGAAGAACAAAGTTGGAGGACTGATACTACCCAACTTGAAGACTTAAAAATCTACAGTCATCAAAATAGTGTGGTGATGGGGAAAGAATAGACAAATATATTGATGGAACGAATAGAAAGCCCAGAAATAGACCCACGTAAGTACATTCAATTGATCTTTGACAAAAGAGCAGAGTCAATACAATGGAGCAAAAAAGTCTTTTTAACAAATGCTGCTGGAACAACTGGACATCTATATACAAAAATATGAATCTAGACACAGACCTTCCACCTTTAATAAAAATTAACTCAAAATGCACCATACACTTAAATGTGAAATGCAAAACTATAAAACTCTTAGAAGTATCATAGGAGGAAACCTAGGTGATCTTTGATATGGTGATGACTTTTTAGGTACAATACCAAAGGTACAATCTTAAAGAAATAATTGATAAACTGGATTTCATTAAAGTTAAAAACTCTGCTTTGTGAGAGACAGTGTCAAGAGAATGAGAAGACATTCCCATTCGATGACATGGGGAAAATATTTGCAAGATTCCTGATAAAAGACTGTTATCCAAAATATACAAAGAACTCTTAAAACTCAACAATAAGAAAACAAACACCATAATTAACAATGGGCCAAAGAACTTTAACTGCCACCTCACCAAAAAAGATTTATTGATGACAAATGAGCTTATGAAAAGATGCTCAATATCATATGTCATGAAGGAAATGCAAATTAAAACAATGAGATGCCACTACATACTTATAAGAATGACCCAAATCTGGAACACTGACAATACCAAATGCTGTCAAGGATTGGAGTGAGTGGCAGGAAATCTCACTCATGCTGGTGGAGTTGCAAAGTGGTATAGTCACTTTGGAAGACATTTTGGAAGTTTCCTATAAAACTAAATATACTCTTATCATATAGTTTGGCAATTGCATTCCTTGGTATTTACCCAGAGGAGTTGAAAACTTAAGTCTACACAAAACCCTGCACAAAGATGTTTATAGCAGCTTTATTCGTAATCACTAGGACTTGGAAGCAACCAAGATGTTCTTCAGGAGGTGAATGGATTAATAAACTCTGGCACCTCCAGACAATGGAATATTATTTAGTGCTAAAAAGAAATGACCTATAAAGCTATAAAGAGACCTGAAAATTGTGTTAGTCCATCTCTGTTGCTTATAACAAAATACCCGAAACTGGGTAATTTATAAAGAAATAAAATTTTTTACATTTTCAGAGGCTTTTTTGCAGTTTTATTTACCATAATAGGATTTCCCACCCTCTTAACACTGTCACAGTGGGGATTTAGTTTCTAATACATGAAACTTTGGGGACACATTCAATCCATATTAGAACCTTAAATACCTAATATTAAGTGACAGAAGCCAATGTGAAAAGGCTACACACTGTATGATTCTAACTATTTGACATCTGCAAAAGGCAAAACTGTGGAGATAATAAAAAGATCAGTGGTTGCCAGGGATTGTGGGGGAGCATTAGAAAAGGCAGAGCCCAGCGGATTTCTAGGGTGGTGGAAATACTCTGTATGATACTACAATGGTGGATACACGTCATTATCCATTTGTACAAACTCATAGAATGTACACTACAAAGATTGAACCCTAATGTAAACTAGGAACTTTAGGTGATAATGATATGTTGATGTAGGTTCATCAGTTGCAACAAGTGTACCACTCTGGTGGGAGATGTTGGTAATGCACGTGGGCAGGGGGTATATGGGAAACCTCTGTACCTTACTCTTAATTTTGTGGTGAACCTAAAACTACTCCAAAAAAAATAAAATCTTAAAAAAAAAGTTAAAAAAAACTAAAGTAGTCCTTTCAGACTTAATTCTGATTAAGTAAGCATTAGGGAAGAGCTGTTAGTTTCTCTTCAATTTAGTTAATGTTAACATGGACCTTTTGCGGCAATTCTTTGTCATCGTTCATTCTAATCATATACTGACCCTTGTGCTCAACTATTAATATTCATTCATTTGGGACAATTTGAGTATCAATAAAGCTAATTATTGTTATGTATTGAAACATATCAAATACATATTTAAATCTTTGAATGAATTCATAATGATACTAAGAAAATAATTAAAAATGAAAAACTCATTGGCCACTTTGGGATAATACTAGGGAATCAACTTCTTATTTTGAAAATTGGTTAAGAAAAAAAAAAGACATTTATTCAGACTTTTCTTATATAACATATTATGGGGTATCCAAGTTATTGATGAGGGAAAGTTTCTCTTTATAGACCAGATAATAAATTAGAAGGAATAGAATTAAAACATCATCAGTTTGCAACTGGTTAATTAATAAATCCTAGTTGCCACCTTCACAAAAAGAGAGATAAGCTGATATTATGTACTTCCTGGTGGAAATACACACCCACTACATGTGGAGTATTTTTGCCCAAAACTCAAAGCTAAATCTGAGATAGATTTTCTATTCTAGGGACAGATTTTCAGGAGATACAGGGAACAGAAATGCATTTTCATATCATGGAGATACAATCTATAAAATCCAAACCCTCAGAAACTCAGACAAACTACCCATTTCTTCAGTAAGTAGGAAAAAAGAAAAGGTGAGGGAATCTATAGTTTAGAAGACACTTGAGATATACAAGCCAGTTGCAGTGTATACATCTTATTTGGATCCTGATTTGAATAAACAAACATATATATTGGTGTGTGTGTGTGTGTGTGTGTGTGTGTGTGTGTGTATAGGTTGGAGAATAATTGAGGAAAGTTGAACATTCACTAAATAGGAGTTGATATAAAAGAATTATTTAATGTTTTGGGTCTGATAACAGTGTTTTATGTTTTTTAAACAAGAGCTTTTGCCTTCTCTCTATAAGGAACTATTTATGGATGAAGTGTTAAGATATCCAGAATTTGCTTTAATTGATACAGGGTAGGGGGCAATGAGTGGGGGATATGAAAGGAAATAAGATTGACCTTGAGTTGATCATTGTTGAGGTTAGATGAGGAATTTGTAGGAGTTCATGGTACTCTTTTCTGTACTCTTTTATACGCTTGAAGTTCTGTAGAATAAAAATTTATTCGGTAAATGTTGAGTGACTATTATGTGCCATGCATTGTGCTATGTGTAGGTTTTATATTGGCCAACAAGTGGATGTACATCGTCCTTAACCTCATGAAACTTTTGGTCTCCAGGAGGAGGCAGATAGTAAAGTAAATAAAAATATATATATATCATAAGTTGTGATCTATTATGAAGGGAAATGAGCACAGTTCAGTGATAGAGAATTATGGGGAAGGACCCACCTCTAGGCTGGCTCAGGTAGGGCTCTCTGAGACAGTGGTATTCCAGCCCAGATCTGAAGGGTGAAAGTAGCCAGCCATGCACAGAGGCTGCAGATAGGTTACAGGAGGGGCGGACAGGCTGGACAAGGAAGGGCTTGATGCAGGTCCTTTCATTCTCTCTCCTCTGAGAGCAAATATCTTATTGTTTAGCCACTTGTTGATTTAATTTTTCTTTTGTTGACTATCTGTTGTGTATTTATGTGTGTCTAACCTTGGATCTAATTAAACTATGAACTCTAGAACTGTTTCTAAGCTTGGCATACTTTCACATGTCCTGAATGGACATCAATAATACATGCCTTTTGATGAGTACTTTTTTACTTATAGACTTTTCAAAAGACTATCAGAATGTAGATAAGAAAAGCCTTGTGTCTCTGAATAAAAGAAACAGCAATTAAAATGAAATACATCCTAGTAATCCTCGAAAATAAGAGAAATTTGTCTTGGGTTCTGGTTAATCTTTTGCTAAGGTAACTGCAGCAAAAACTGTCCTTTAGTTACCCTTCTGGCTGTTCGAGTATAAAATATTGTTTTGTTTTGTTTTTAAGTGCCTGAATTTCTTACAGTGAATAAAGATGTTATTTATTTAAGTAGCATATTTTCCAGTGGTATGTCTGAATCAGGCGCAATATGGAGACTCAATAAATGTTAAATGAATAAATGATTTGTACTTTGTATAAATTTCTCTTTGCGGAAGCCTCTTCGAGTCTGCATCGAGTCCACTGTATTTGTATTTTTTTTTTTCCTTTTTGTCTTATTTTTTACTGACCGGTAATGGGATCGCAACCCTCGGTGTTGCGCCCGCACCGCGCTCAGCCAGTGAGCGGGAACTGGTCTCCACATGGGATCCAAACCCTCGGCGGGAGCGCCGCAGCGCTCCCAAGCGGCGCACTCTCCAGTGCGCCACCAGGCCGGCCCTGTATTAGTATTCTTTTATGCTCTTTTGTTCTGCCTTCTTAGACTATTTTGAAGGACTGGTTCTTTTTCCTGACTCATCTACTAGTACTCTGAGCAGGAGTGTGCGTGCGTGTGTGCGTGTGTGTGTGTGTATGTGTGTAGCAGGGGGAGGTGCTGCTTATTTCTCACAGCATGATCATTTCCTTGTCATTCTGTTTTAGACATATTACAGATGCTACCCTTGCTATTGTGAAAGGAGAGACGGTTCCACTTGATGTGTTGCAGATTAAGGTAAATCTTTTCTTCAGATTTTGAAAAACTATCAAAGTAATACATGCATACATGTGAAAGAAAAGGAACTGTAGTAGTTCAAATGAGATTATAATGAAAACAACAGTCCCTCTTTCTTTCCTGTCCCAAGTATTACCAGAGAAAAATAATTTTATCTGTTAATTCTAGTTTTTATTACTAATTAATATGCTTATATTTCACTTTTTTAAAAAATTGTGGTAAACAACACATAACATGAAATTTACCATCCTAACCAATGTACAGTTCAGTAGTGTTAAGTATATGATGCTTTTTGATTTATCAGTTGTAGACCTTATCTCTTGACCTCTTTGTTATACGAGGGGTCTTCAGAAAATTCATGGAAGGGGCTGGCCTGTGGCTTACTTGGGAGAGTGTGGTGCTGATAACTCCAAGGCCACAGGTTCGGATCCCTATATAGGGATGGCCAGTTAGCTCACTTGGGAGAGCGTGGTGCTGACAACACCAAGTCAAGGGTTAAGATACCCTTACCGGTCATCATTTTTTTTTTTTTAAAGAAAGCTCATGGAAAGATTTGTATTATCTTTCAATTCAGTTTTTCCACAAACTTTTTGAAGTACCCTTGTACATTACGGTTTTTTTTATATCTCCTCCCAGTATAGTTGAGTCGCTATTTTTATTTCTTCTGTTGATTACCTTTGGACCATAAATAATTCACCTACCTCATCTGGTTGTTTTGAATATCAAAAGAGCTAATAAATATAAAGCACTTAGGACAGTGACTGATTTTGTCTTACCTGTTTATATGGTGGCCACCTCTTTCTCTCATGCTTTGCTAGAGGTGAAACTTTTCTTGTATCCCATCTCTCCTTTGGAGTGACTTGTCTTTTATTGGAATTCAGGTTATTTGGTTGTCTTGGAATCTTAGCTCTCTGATGGACTTAAGAAAAGTTATGATTTTATAGATTATCTGTCTTTTTCTCATTTTTAGGGTGAGAACAATGTTTTTTGTAGTTCCTACACTGTAGGTGGGAACAGCACTTCCCATTTTTCTATTGCGTCGTCTAATATTTTCTAATTGGTTTGCAGAGGAACTCATGAATTGTTTTAGAAATATATTTGCTAGCTATGCTCACTGAAAGCTTAGAAGCAATGACAGTCAACAACAATGAGCATATCTGGCACCCAGATTTTGGTCTCTGAATACCATTCCCTCATAAAAATAACCAGGATGCTGTGAAGAGATAGCTTTCAGAAGCAGCACAAGAACAAGGCAAGGAAGAACTCAAAAACTGATGGGGACATCACAAAAGATATGGGAGTCTACCTGATGATGTCCTCTTTGGCAATTTTGGGACAGTTTGAATATCAAAAAGAGTAATAATACTGATGGATTATAATGCCTTAAAAAAAAATTAAGAATCTATGAGTCCATAGTGATATTACAAAAGAATTACCAGGTTGTAAATGTAGAAGGAATGATAAAATAAGAAAATTACCATTTTGCAATCACTGATGCAATAAGTGATTCAGGTAGAAATCATCAATGGCTGCTAAAACCATTGGATAAAAGGTTGTTGGGAAACAAATATCCACACTGTCTCAAAATTTCTCAGGTTACTTAATAATTAAAAAGGAAAAGTATATCTTTGTAGCAGAGAAATCTAGCATATGCCACTTTATTTAAATAAATGGGACAAACTAATATTATCTGCCTCCTGATGTGATAGAGTGAGAAAGATACAACATCCCCTATGTAGTTTCTTGCCCTAAATGTTAACTAATCTGAATCTAACTGAATCTAATCATTGGGAAATAATCAGACAATTCCAAATTGTGGGACATTCTAAAAACAATAATTGATCTGGCCTCTTCAACGCATGTCAATGTCATGAAATCCCAAAGAAGGTAGATGGTCTGTTTAAGATGAAGGGAAACTAAAGAAATATAACTAAATCCAATATAAGATCCTGGATTGGAAGAATGAGAAACATTGCCAACCATAACAAACATTATTGGCACAATTAGAGACATTTTAATATGAACTATAAGATATCATATATTGATGCTAGATCTCTTGAGAGTGACAGTGGTGTTATGGTTATGTTTGTGCATGTCCTTGTCCTTAGGATATGCATGCTCAGATATTTGGGGATGACGGGTCATGAAGTGTGCAACTTATTTACAAATTGCACAACACTACAGAACATATATACACACAGCTGAGTCTAATATGGGGAAAATGTTGGAAGTTGGTGAATCTAGGTGAGAGGTATATATGGTGTTCATTGTACTATTTATATGTATTTTTGGTTTGACATTTTCCCAAAATATAAATTTGGGGTCGGGGGAAGAAGGTTTCATACTTACTCCCAATTCTTGATCAGGATCCTCCCTTTAAAAAGAATTTAATTCCTAGAAAACAGATATTCTCACTTGGGCAGTAGTTAAGTAGCTATTTCTTCTTCATCTAAACTTTTCTTTGGGGGCTAGGGGTGGAAATTCCTAAAAAGACAGAGCCATGAAGTTAAATAATGCTATAAATAGTGAGCCCCATGTACTTTATCAGATTTGGCTTTAAAATATACCAGCTACATTTAGGATGAGCATTTTATATTCTTTCAAGCTTCCTGATATTTGGGAAAGAAGGGTCAACAGTGTGTCATGATTCTATGTGCATATTTACAATTGGCAAACCTGTGAACTTGCAGCTTGTTTGCCTTTTCTTTTCTTCATGCAGTGATGCCTGGCTCTCCATCATGACTTCGCTGGTCATGATGAAAGTGATTTAAACTACAGGTGATCTTTAGGCATATAATAAAGCTAAATTATTCCCACAAAATGGAAGGGCCATGGTGAAAGGAATTCTAGCCTAGAGATTGGTATCTGTGAAGATATATAAAAATACTGCTAGTACCAAAGGAGGTGAGCCAGGATACATCTCTTAGTAACTGAGTGATTCACTGTTTCTTATATATGTGTTAGAAGTAATACATTCCAGAGTAATTAGAATTTAACTGGAAATTCTTGCTGTGCTGGTATTTGAATGTCTCTTGTCTCCTTTATTTTTTTCTTCCAAATATACCAATTTCATGAATTGATGAATCTAGTACCAAATTTACCACAGGCTCTGTACATTGATGACACAGCCCAGGAAGCAGAAACTTTAAATCAGTTCCTAGAAAATATGTGTAGCAGCCTCTACAGTGGTTTCTGAGGAACCCAGCTAAGTTGAATTCATCTTCTCCTTTTTCCTTACTTCTAGAAATTGCTTTCAGAATATGGAGAAAAGCATTATAGACAAAGCCTGATATCATAAGTAATACAGATAAATCCTTATATCAAATTCTTCTTTTAAAGAACAACCCAAACCCTATTAAGCATATAACTGAAGATTCTCCAAAGATAAAAGAAATAGTCCCTGGAAGCTATAATCATGCCTTATGTGAGTATTTAGCTTTTTACATTGTTCAGTGTGTGTTCACATCTCATTTGAACTTCCAGCTTGGTGAGGAAATCAAGATGTTTATTAGTACTCCCTTTGACAGATTAAAGAAAAAAAAAATAGGAATCTGGTTATATGACTAGCTGTGCTGGAGACAAATGGAATCTAGATATTCTGTCTCACAGTCTATTGATTTCTCCACTTCTGCTTTGTCCACGTGGTATCACACTGGGCACTGTTTCGTGATTTTTAAAGGGCAGTTTTCCCCATATAGACATCTTTAATGCCTAGTACTTGACTTTAAAGCAACTACTGAAAATATTTATGGAGTTCTTTCTAGTTTTTTTCTTTTTGTTTTTTTAAACCGGACTCTTCGAACTTGCCATCCAGAACCAAATAATGTGTGTAGAGGAGGTGGTGGGGAGTTAGAATATCTTTCTTTCTCCATCTGTCATTCCTGGCTAATCATATAGATTCCTTCTTTGTAAACTCTGACTCCGATCATTCTTTTATGATGATTCTTGGAGTTGCTTCAGAATTCCTTCAGGGCTTCTTCTACCTTGTTTCTTTCTCTTAATCTAGGATCTCTAAAATTCCTAGATTAAACACTAGATAGGAATTCCCAGATTCCTATCTAGTTGATAGGAATTTTCTTTTCATTGTTTCTTAATCCTTTACTGCAACTGGCTCTCCCTATTATTTTCTTCTGCAAACCACTAGGCCATTTTCTCTCAGGGATTTAGTCTTTCCAGGGAAGTCAGTGAACTGGGGCAGCACATCTTTTTGCTGTTAAGATCTAGCTGTGTGCTTGTCTTTCTGTTTTTGTCTTTGTTTAACTGACCTACGCATCTCATAATCTGACTACCTGCCCAGGCTTTCAATGGGCTAAGATACTGTGGTACTTTTTCTATTGGCTTCTACTTTGTCCATCTAATCTTGATTATTTTTGCTGTGCTTGTGTGTACCCCAACAGGGACTAGTCTTTCCATTACTGACTCTAGGGGCTCTTATGAATCCTGACAGCTCCATCCCCATCTGCTTGTTAATTTGGCTTCTACAGATCTGTTCACAGACATTATTCCTTAATTGCTTATTTCATCTTGTCCAGAGCCAATCCCATCTCCTGATAGGACATAGCACCCTGCATCAGTGAACCTTGAGGTTACAAGGCTTTTCAATTAATTCTAACAGAGTGTTCTTAAACTTCTTTCCCCCAAATAAAGAAAAAACAGTGTTAGAGCACCAGTCAGCAAGACTTGAGTACTTATCTCAGCACTTCTTGCCTTCACTACATGCTTTAGAACAGCATTTCCCAAGGAATATTAGTTATGCAAAAATGTCCTCCCAGAGAAGGATTGCAGAGTTAACAATTCAGGAAAACTGTATATTGTATTTCTCCTTTTGGAAATTATAATGTACATGAATCTGTGAAAGACTCCAACAAGAACTGCAGTAAACATAACTTGTTTCAAACCAAATAAGTTTGGTATTTCCCGACTTATTTCACCATGGAATCTTCTGTCATCATCATCATCATCATTCGATGTAATACTTTTTAACATTTCCCCCATGAAAC